GTATACAAATCTTCATTTAAATAAATAATCACACTATAAGTGATTGGAGGCAAATGAGGACAAAGAGGAAAAGAGAGAATTCCAGGGCATGCAACTTTTCTTACATGCTCTTGCAAGATAGGAAGCTGCCTTAGATAAGGTTGAATTATTTGCCCAACATCCCAGCACTGCATTCTCTGCCTGGCATTGGTCAACTCTCTAGGGTCCCCAGCAGAGGATTGCATTCCATGATAGTCCTACTCAGAGTAGCCCCATGGAAATTAATGGAAATGGCTAACTTGGACCCATCCATTTAAATGGATCTACTGTTAGAACAACTCAAAGTGAATGGGCTTGGTTGGCGGATTGTGCCTTGTTCCTCGATGGACATATTAGCTGGCATCCTTTCAGAATTTTGTACCCACATTTTGTGCCCACTCCTATTGCATTAGCAGTTCTTGCTTGTTGGTTGTTTGCAATGGCTTCCAATACGTTATCGCTGTGTCTGAATTTAGTTTGCCTACCCTTTTTACTGCCGTCCAGATCATTAATATAACCCATTAGCAGTAAATTGAAAAGACTGAGCCGGGAGCAATGTACTCCGATAAAAAGGATTAGGCAATGCAGGTTTTAATGTAGCAGGATCTAATGTAGGAAATTGTTCTGCTGCAGGACGAGTGCACCTTGTGTTAGGTCCACATGGAGAGCATTTTAAACTTGAAATGTATGCTTTTGATGCCAGAAGGATGCTGGCAAGCTATGAAGGATTCAGAGGAGACCTCTGCTGCTGTTTATGTCAGTACCTTGTGTGTCCTCCTATTTTTTGTTTTTGTGCTATATGCGTCAATAGTATCTTTTTACCAAGAACAAAGTCTGGGACCTCAGAATGCAAAGCATTGCCCCACAACTTTTGTTTCTCTTCAGGTGTATTAATGAGTCTAATTTTTCATATTCTATCCCCTTCTGTAGGATCTCTAGAAAGGACATCTATGAATGAGGCAGATGCATCATTGTGTGGATACTGTCATTATATGCTTTAATCACTAGGTGGAGCTGGACTTAATTGTATCTGGGTGAACTCAGGAGTTTCCTTCTACTCTTCTGTTCTTGTTGGTAATTTGTGGGTTTAACACTGGAAAAGTCAATCAGGGAGCACAGCCAGATCTCATGGTAGGTGGTGTCAGAGCTAAAAGTAGGTGAAATAACCTAAGAATAACCTGCTGGATCAGACCAATGGCCCATCTAGTCCAGCATCCTGTTCCCACAGTGGCCAGCCAGATATCTGTGGGAAGCCTGTAAGCAGGACCTGACTGCAATATCATCCTCCCCATTTGTAATTCTCAGCGACTGGCATTCAGAGGCATACTGAACACATACCAGTACATATTTTCAGTAGAGGCTGAAAATAGCCATCATGGCAGCTAGCCATTGATAACCTTACCATCCATGAATTTGTCCAATCCTCTTCTGAAGCCATCTAAGCTGGTGTTCATCACTACCTTGGGGGTGCCTCCTGGGCTACAGATTCCCTACGATTGGCGTATAAGGCACAAAAGTCAGGAAGGAAGACAAGAACTTTCTTGACTCTCTTAAACAAGAGCAAGAATAGGAAACTCATGGCTCCATCCAGATAGTCCAGCACAAACCATGTTATGACACACTCCAGGCCCCTGCTTATGTGGCATGAGGCTTCCTTGTACAGGGGCATGGAAAGGGGGGCATGAGGCTGTTACACCCCTAACGAAACTGAATACACAATAACAAAGAAGGTAGGGAATGCTAGAAAAATGAGGAAGCAAGGGGAGCCAAAAGGAGTAGAACAGGAATGATCTGGGCCCAGAGAGATTGCACAAGTACTGAACAGGATTAGAAACAATCCAGGTGAGGAGAGAATCCAAGAGGACTGACCACTGGTGTTTAGGGAAGACAAATGTTAGTGTTTCAGCTGCCTAAGGGTGGAATTTTTCTAGAAAACAAGGGGAGAAGAACCAGGAGAAAATCCAAATGCGTGCACCATTTGGATTCAAGTTTCTTGTCACAGGTGTCAGAGTGCAGAGGTATGTGGTGTGCAGTTGACTACCATGTGCATGTATCTGCCGAAGGATTCAAAACTTATGTCTCACTAATGACTGCTAATGTGTTTACCAGTGGTAGTTGTGCCTCAAGCACAAAGCTTCCTCCTTCGGGGCTCTAAGTAGACCAAATCAGGATGACTTAATTAGGTTAGAGGCCAGACAGAAGAGGTCTTTCCACGTCCCAGAGGTCCCATGCAGGTATGCATAGCTCGTGAACGTCCCCCATTGACCAAGTGAGGTCAGCAAATAGAACCTGCAACCTTCATGCTCTGCATGCCTCAAGCCTCTGCTTGATGTATCACTTACAGGCAACATGGGAAGCTAGGGCAATGGTTGCCAATGCTTTCAGGCCTTTGGGCACTACCCGTTCTGACTGCTTCTCTCACCCATTCACAGACAGATAAAAAACACATATACGGGCACCCATTTTCATAAAAGTCAGATCCAGCACAATTAATATGGGGCCTATAGAGTTCATGCGATTTTATATATGGTCAAATGAAAGTCTATGGCAGTAGTGCAGAGAAAGAGCTGTGAGTGGAGGGGGGAGCTTTCTCCATCCTCTGGACCCCCTGGGAAACTCAACAAACCTGCTGTACCTGCAACTGGGTGTGGAGAGTGCAGCTGAATGAGACACAGCTGTGGACAGCCTGAGGAAGTAGCATCCATCCTGTTCAAATAAAGGACCCCTTAAAACAGAGAACAGAGTAGGTCATCAGGCCCCATTTCAAGATTCTTAGTGGCTGTTGATGTTCATTAGACTTTAATTTTGTGAGCCGCTGCATCTTTGATGGAGAAAAGCAAGGTACATGCTGTCAAAATATTATCATTACCTTTGTACTAGCAGAAAGTGCTTATGCTCATGCAAAGCAAGTCATCCAATATGTGGTTCCTTCTGTTCCTACCCCTCTGTGCCATATCACCATGCTCTGTTCTGAAGGCTCCTCCAACCCTCAAGAATAGCTTTTGGTTGGGGGCAAGGGAACAAACCACGTCTGGGATTGGACCGCAAGGAAACTAGATGGTATTGTAGCTTTTTAACATGCTCAAAAAAAAATTACGGTCTGTGTGGGGAAACCCCAGTATCTTTAAAAAAGATTGATTAAGCTTAGGTCTGGGTAGACATTTATGATGCATAGCAAATGCAAGATGTCCAGCTGAAAGGGCCATCAGTTGTCATTATATTTTAACAAGACAATATTTTCACACACATACAAGCCCGCACACTGGCAGCATGTCCCTCTGATCTTCTGGAAAGCAAAAAGATATGAGAGGCACTAGCTAAATACCTGAAGTGAAAGCTTCAGACTTGGCTTCCAAATATTTATATCCACACTGGTTTGCAGTTAAACTGTTGTTGTGGCATATCTCATGTATTACAAGTGTGGTACTGCAGGCTATTGATCAGGAAAGTGTGTCCCACTTTGGCGCTTGAGGCGAAATGGGAAGGGCCCACCCTGCTGCTGCCACCACTGCCACCTCCTACATTGTGTGCCCTGCCACATAGATCACTGACGGAGAAGCAGATGGCTGATTTGGAGTGAAATCTCCCTCAAAATGGACGTGATTTCACCCAAAATCTGCGCTCATGCCAGTGCTGCTTCTCCACTATGTGGGTGCCGCCTCAGGGGCTTCTACCACCTGAGAGAGAGGCCTCATCCTGCCTAATGGATGGGCCAGCCCTGCTTTTGATTACACATGAAGATCTGAACTTTTCAAACATGTTATTACAGAATATGAATACATTTTGCCTAAGGTGCATACAAAAATATTCCACATACCTGTGAGTAACATCCAAAAATGTTTTAAATTACTCATGCTTTCAAGCAGCTGTTTTTCATTAAAATAAATGTTAAGTATGGAATCATAGAATTGTAGAGTTAGAAGGGACCCTATCTGTCCAACCCTCCGAAATGCGGGCATCATAGCTAAAGAAGTCTTGACAGGTGGCCAACCAATCTCTCTTGAAGGAGAGTCCAACCTCAAGGAAGGAGACTCAACCAGCTTCTGAGGCAGTCCATTCCTCTGTTGAAAGCTCTTACCCTCAGAAAGCTCTTTCTAATGTTTAGTCAGAATCTCCTTTCTTGGAATTTGAATGCATTGGTTCAGGTCCTACACTCTGGAGCAACAGAAAACAAGCTTGCTTCATCATCTGTGTGACAGCCCTTCAAATATTTGACGATAGCTATCATATCACCTTTCAGTCTTCTCTTTTCCAGGCTACATACACAACCCTCTCAACCATTCCTCATAAAGCTTGCTTTTCAGACCCTTTATCATCTTAGTTGCCTTCCTTTGCAGACATTCCAGTTAGTCAGTATCCTTAAACTGCGGTACCCAGAACTGGACACAGTATTCCAGGTGTGATCTGACCAAGGCAGATTCAAGTGGTACTATCGCCTCCCTTGATCTGGACACTATACTTCTGTTGATGCAGCCTAGAATAGCATCAGCTTTTTTTGCTGCTACATCACACCACTGACTCGTGTTAAGCTTGAGGTCTGCTAAGGCCCGTAGACCTTCTTGCATGTACTACTGGCAAACCAGGTGTCCCCCATCCTGTATTTATGCATCTGATTATCCTTGCCTAAATGTAGAGCCTTAAAGTTGTCCCTATCGAAATTCACTTTGTCAGTTTAGCTGAGTACTCCAACATGTTATCTTGAATCCTGATTCTATCTTCTGAAGTATTAGCTACCCCTCCCAGTTGGGTGCCATCTGCAAATTCCACATATCTCTTAACTAGCAAGCTCATGCATTTTGTACATGATGCAGAGCAGAAACAGTTAAACTTTCCCCCTTCAATAAACACATTCCACAACTGCAGCATGCACAAATTGCAGCATATCATACTGGCTGGGTCTTGGAAGCCATAGAATCATAGAATTGTAGAGTTGGAAGGAAACACAAGTGTAATCTAGTCGAACCGCTTGCAATGCAGGAATCTTTTGCCCAATGTGGGGTTCAAACCCATAACCCTGAGATTCAGAGTCTCAATGTTCTGCCAATTGAGCTAGCTCTTCAACAAGGCAGGATGCAACTACAGCATGCAACAGATAAGAGCCTGTACCTGTGACTCAGAAAAAACAGAAAGAGTAAGGCAGGTTTTGCTGGTTTTTAAAAAAACGTTCATATAAATGATATAAAAGGAAAGAGGAAAGGGGAGGGTAGAGAAAAGAAAGCATCGAAGCAGTTGCTTATTCTCTGGTTGATGGATGGGGACAGGCTGCCTTCCCCCTTGCTGTAATGATTTTTCTGGGAGGCAGAGACTCCCAATAGCCCTTGACGCCCTGGCTGGTGGCAGAAGCCAGAGTGTACTTCCTTTTGGTTCTCAGTGCAACTGGTAGTTGGAGCACAGTGTTCTTTTTTGCAGGGAGATAATGACAGATCAATAGAAATGTCAATAAAAATACTGACATTTGAAATTATGTGGGCCATTTGTATGGGGTAATAATGAGTTTTTGTGAAATTTATTAGGTAGGAAGGTTTATTGTGCTGTTTTATTGGATGCATGTATTCAAACTGTTCCAGATTGAAAATAAATACTTTTTTCATATTGGAGGAAAAAGAGATTTCTGGAAAGAATTGATGAATCCAGTAACTATTTTATAATCTGGAGGATCATCTTCATATTACATTTTTCTCCTTCTCTCAGATAAAATTATTACAACCATTGCTCTTAACAGGAATTTAGCTGCAATGAAGACATGAACTAAAATCTTATCCAGATCTAGGTAACCACATTTCCCCACTCATCAATAGAGTTGTTTGTTCTTGTATTTCGTCTTTGTACGTTAAGAAATGCATTGATTTTATGGTGAGATCTGTTGTCTGGTTCAATAAACGTATTGTTAGAAGACTGGCCTTGTTCATTTCCTACTAGTGACAGCTGTATGTGGCCTAACATTTGTCCGAGAAAAGCAAGTCGCTTTTGACATCTTAACTGCATTGATAACTCAGAGCCAGTGTCACTCACAGTGCCTTCCTATGCTGGTTTATCAACAGAGTCTGGATGTCCGCATTTGCTCTCCAAACAGTGACACAATAGCCTCACCCAAGGGAACTGCTCATGTCAACAACATACAGCATTTCTGGTGATGTTTGCAGTTTAATGACTGAGGAGGAAGGCTTGGAGAACACACATAGCCTAAACAAGAAATGAATTGTTCCTAAGCCCAGTATAGCAAAGGTCGTAGGGAACTGCTTCATGACTGCAGCAGACATTCAGTTTGATGATGCTGTTGCACCACTTGATGCAGCTCCAAGGGAAGGACATTTTTATCACATGCAAAAAAGTTGAAGAATTTAGGCTTCTCGCTTCTGGCCCTGAGACAGGCTTCCTTTCTACCTTTTTGTCAGATCACCTTATATAATTCCTATCCCGCCCTTCATCACAGATGATCTCTCAGGGCAGGTAACAACTTCTGTACAGTCAAAACCAGAAAAACACATATTTAATCAAAGCGGTAACATTACAGTACATTATATCTCCCACCTGTCCCAGAACAAGCAAATGTTGTTGTTGTTGTTGTTTAGTCGTGTCCGACTCTTCGTGACCCCCTGGACCAGAGCACACCAGGCACTCCTGTCTTCCACTGCCTCCCGCAGTTTGGTCAAACTCACATTCGTAGCTTCAACAACACTGTCCAATCATCTCGCCCTCTGTCGTCCCCTTCTCCTTGTGCCTTCCATCTTTCCCAACATCAGGGTCTTTTCCAGGGAGTCTTCTCTTCTCATGAGGTGGCCAAAGTATTGGAGTCTCAGCTTCAGGATCTGAGAAGAAGCTAATAAAACATAAAAATCATGATTAAAATGGTGGTGCAGAAAAGTGGATAATGTTGGTGTCACCCAAACTGAGTTGGGAGGGTAGTTGAAAGCTGGGGTGCCAGTGCTGAGAAAGCCTTCTGGCAGGTCATATATGTAGATCCTTTGACCTAATTCAAAGACAGTATAAGGAAGAGAGACAGTCCAGCTTATCTTAGATTCCAGGTAGGACAGCAAGGGGAGAGGCACTCCTTCGGGCAGTCAGGAAGTTACATTACACTGAGTCAGACCATTGATTCATCTAGTTCAGCATTGTCTATTCTACACTGACTGGCAGTGGCCCTCTAGGATTTCAGACTAGGGTCTCTCCCGGCCCTACCTGGAGATGCCAGGAATTGAACCTGGGACATTATGCATGCAATGCAGATGCTTTGCGACTAAGCTGTGACCCTTCTCCTACAGGTCCAGAGCCACTCCAGGCTTTATACATCAGAAAAGAGCACCTGGAATTGGGTTCAATGATCACAGAATCATAGAGTCCTGGAGTTGGATGGGACCCTGGTGACAGTCAAATCTCCAAGGTCACTTGTAGAAAAGTCCATCCACATTCTGTGCACTTGCCTTATTTTCAGTCCTAACCAGGTATGTCATTGTTTATGTTGTAAACCGCCCTGTAATCTTCGGATGATTTAGGTAGGCAACCTTAATACATAAAGAAATAAGCCTCCAAAAGCAAGAGAAAGAGACATGGAGATTGCAGTCCCACAAGCTGTTATGTATACAGTGGTACCTCTGGTTACGTACTTAATTCGTTCCGGAGGTCCGTTCTTAACCTGAAACTGTTCTTAACCTGAAGCACCACTTTAGCTAATGGGGCCTCCTGCTGCCGCCGCCCAATTTCTGTTCTCATCCTGAAGCAAAGTTCTTAACCCGAGGTACTATTTCTGGGTTAGCGGAGTCTGTAACCTGGAGTGTATGTAACCTGAAGCGTATGTAACCCGAGGTACCACTGTACTTACATGCCTCTAAAAAACAACAGTGGAGTCAGACAAAATGGGCACAGTTAAATAGTGGGTAGACATAGCAGACGACGCAGCGATTTCTCCAAAGCAGCTCTTTATTTGTAAGCTGGAACAGAACTGAACAGCAAACAGCTCAGCCGGCCTGCTTTTATAGGCAGCCGGCTGTCAGCATTGTAGCAACAGCAACCCAGGGTTTCCCACCTAAAGTAACTGACGTGGACCTGAGTGAAAACTATATACACGATACTCTTGGTGGCCAGGGTGAGAACTTCAATACATAACAGGCACGATTCTGCAAAAGCTGCTCCTGGTTGAAAATGCTTCCACATGGCAGTTTACTGCCAGCTCAGTGCTGCTTAGGCATGCAAAACTTTGTGCAGTGTCCACACAACATCGCCCTCATCCGGATGCCATCCCATCCCCCCCCCATATAATTGAGGTTTACTGTTACCATGGAAAATCTGGAAGGAAAAAACCCTGAGAAAATGGCAGCTCCAGATTAAACACAGTGTAGAAGTATCCTGACTTTTTAATCTTTTGTAAACCGCTTTGAGGTATTTTTGTTTTGTTTTGTTTTTGAAATCAATCGGTGTATAAATTCTATGAATGGAACAAACTCCCATTGAAAAGAGCTGAGGGTTCCATGCCATATGCACCCTTTCCTGGGAATAAGCCTCTTTGAACATAATGGGATTTACTTCCAGGTAAACCTGCATAGGATTGTACTGCTGTCTCATTGATCGCAGTGGAATTTGTAATCCTGTGCGTGTTTACTGGCAATTAAATCCCACTAATTGCAAACAGGTTTGCTCCCACAATGAGAGCACAAAGCTGTAACGAACTTTTGCCGGATAGTGCCCAGAACCTGTTTATTAGAGTGTGTTTTGTTGTTGCCAAAGAATCCAGAACTTCTAAAACCCATAAAACCCCTTCAGGCAAAGATAACAGAATAATATGAACGAACGAACAGAAATAAGAATACATATTGCCTGAAACAAACATGAACAGTTTCTAAGCAGTATAGTATCAAAGGTCATGTAATGCTGGTTAATGATTGCAATGCATTTCATATTTGATTATCACCATTTCTTTTCTTTTTGCCAGACACGGTAGGGAGTGGGGACATCAAAGGGGAAATATCAGGCGATGGTTTGTTTCTTTGAAACTCTGGCGCAGGTTGCCTGGGTACCATTTGATACTTCGTGTCAGGTGAGAGCAAGAACAAAGGGCTCCTCCTAACAAGCTGTTTATTGAACATCCATCTTGATTTGCTTCCACAAAGCTTACCTGGAAACTGGACTATATCCTGTTTTTACTGAGCATTTGTTTTGATTTGTTGGTAGGGGAGGTTATACAACAATGAACACTCATCCTGATTTGCTTGTGGGGTTTACATACCTTCCCATTGGTCATTTGCTTATCTTGCAGTTTTCAGTACATTTCCTCAACAATTTCTTAACCCAAAATTTGGTCTTAAACAGATTTTTTGTGTGCCAAGCCAACAAACTGCTTTAATCCACTTCAATTGTGCAACCTTAAATTCTGTCCCTCAAAACACTGATAGTCTAGAGGTGGCACAATGCAATCTATTAAATAAGTGGGTTGTGGCACTTCAGTTCCCAATATCCTGCCAGGGAAATCAATGCTTGTACTTGACGCTAGCAGCCAGGGCTGGCTCAAGACATTTTGCTACATGCAAAAGCTGGTTTCAGGGCTGGCAAGGGAGCGGGTGGCACTGTGGTCTAAACCACTGAGCCTCTTGCACTTGCTGATCGGAAGACTGATGGTTCAAATCCCTGTGACGGGGTGAGCTCCCATTGCTCTGTCCCAGCTCCTGGCAACCTAGCAGTTTGAAAGCACACCAGTGCAAGTAGATAAATAGGTACCACTGCAGCGGGAAGATAAACAGCGTTTCCATGCACTCTGGTTTCTGTCACGGTGTTCTGTTGCGCCAGAAGCGGTTTAGTCATGCTGGCCACATGACCCAGAAAGCTGTCTGTGAACAAACGCCGGCTCCTTCGGCCTGAAAGTGAGCTGAGAGCCGCAACCCCATAGGTGCCTTTGACTTAAGGTCCTTTACCTTTTTTACCTCAAGGTTGTGTGGCTGGGGCTTTTAGTAAGAAGCTGCTGTCACATGACCCTAGTAAGCAAGGCTTTGGGCTCTGGAGGAGCGGCACCTTCCTGCTATGCCTCAGGCAGTGAAATGGGATGAGCTGTGCCTGCTGGTGATGGAATCTTACTACAAGACTGGTGATAGAAGAATGTCCTTCATGACATCTGAGGACAGTAAACCAGCTTAGGGGTAGGGGGCAGGCCGTGTGGTGCACATTGCTCTGTCCTCCAACATTTCTCCACTACTACCCCCTGCTAAGTGTCTGATGCCTAAGGTGGATTCTTCATTTGGTCTAATGTTAGGGCCGGCCCATGTGCACAGTTTGCACCTGCAGATCACCTGGTGAGGGGCAAGCTGATTGGCATATGTCCAAACAGGATCAGCAAGATTTCGGAAGCTGCCCAGAGTGGCTGGGGAAACCCAGCCAAATGGGCGGGGTATAAATAAATTATTATTATTATTATTCTTATTATTATTACTACTACTACAACAAAGTACAGTGGTACCTCTAGTTAAGAACTTAATTCATTCCGGAGGTTCGTTCTTAACCTGAACCTGTTCTTAACTAGAGGTGTGCTTTTGCTAATGGGGCCTCTTGCTGCTGCTGTGCCGCCGGCACACAATTTCCATTCTCTTTTTTTTTTTTTTTTTAATGATATTTATTAAAGTTTCACAAAAATACAGAAAACAAAGAAAAAAGTATAAATTACAGCAAAAAAGTAAAAAGTAAGAAAAAACATACAAAATAAAACAGTTAAAAACACAATAATGTTCCATAACCTATCTTCCTTACTCTTATTTCCCCGGACCTCCTCATACCTCCCTTCTTTGTATTCCAATTCAATTTGTTGGTTCAGCAAATCCTTACCATTAATCTTTTACCCAATTGTTAACCTTTTTTTCCCCATGTCTCTTAAAGCATTACAGCTAAAAACCTCTTAGTTTCTATCCAACATCCTTCTAAAGTTCCTTAATTTTGCAATATTTCTGTAAATAGTCCTTAAATTTTTTCCAGTCTTCTTTCACCGACTCTTCTCCCTGGTCTCGGATTCTGCCAGTCATTTCCGCCAATTCCATGTAGTCAATCACCTTCACCTGCCATTCTTCCAAAGTGGGTAAATCTTGTGTCTTCCAATACTTTGCGATAAGTATTCTTGCTGCTGTTGTAGCATACATGAAAAAGGTTCTGTCCTTCTTTGGCACCAGTTGGCCGACAATGCCCAAGAGAAAGGCCTCTGGTTTCTTCAGAAAGGTATATTTAAATACCTTTTCAGTTCATTATATATCATTTCCCAGAAAGCCTTAATCTTTGGGCACGTCCACCAAAGGTGAAAGAATGTACCTTCAGTTTCTTTACATTTCCAACATTTATTATCGGGCAAATGATAAATTTTTGCAAGCTTGACTGGGGTCATGTACCACCTGTATATCATTTTCATAATATTCTCTCTTAAGGCATTACATGCCGTAAACTTCATACCTGTGGTCCATAACTGCACAATTTCCATTCTCATCCTGGGGCAAAGTTCTCAACTTGAAGCAACTCTTTCAGGTTAGCGGCGTTTCTAACCTGAAGTGTTTGTAACCTGAGGCGTTTGTAACTTGAGGTACCACTGTAGTTGTCGTTCAAACCCAGAAACGGCAAGACCTGTTTTACAAAGTTGGTTGCCCATAATGCAGCAGGTAGGGGTCACTTTTTGCCATAGGTCTGCTGGGTTCCAGCTTAGCAAAACATGGCTACACAGAGGAACTAGCTCAGAGCAAGCACTATTCAGTTCCAGGGCTGCAAGTTTTCTATTTTACTGTAGTTGTTTATTAGATGAAACCTTGTGTTTCTTCTTAACTGACCTTCTTCTTTAGAAGATAATGAAGCAACTTCTATTAGAATGTTCTTCCTTGCAAATATAGACAAGATTCTGATTAATACCCACCATATGCAGGTCAAGAGCAGTAGAAGAAGATAGGAATTGACATAATTTGAACACCCACACCCAAACTAAAATTGGTAGGGATAGAGCTCGCTTTCATTACAGTGCTTTCAAATCATAACATCCCTTTACCCAAGATCATGCTGACCTTTGTTGCAACCTTAAGAATATTTCATATGAGTCTGAGAATCCAAACCAGCCTCAACACACCCACTCACCCATGCTTGCAATATTAACAGTTGACTATATTGCAGGGCTGTCAAAAGGGCTGCCTACTTTCTCTCACCCTCTGCACGGCTTCAAATTTGCAATAACAGTATACCCACAGTGGAAACCTCTGCAGGGTTGTCGTATGCTATTCTCTTAGGCACCACATAACCCCTCATCC